GGACTTACAAAGCTAGAATCTAGGTTTTGAGACCCGTGGTGGGCAGAGCACAGATAGCCCATCGTGTAGCTTTGTGCTTAATTACAAACAAACAAACCATTGATCTGTGCTGTTCGAGTATTTATCACGGCACGTGGCGTTGACAATATATTTTTGGCGAGGGCGAGTGTTTATATTATCCATGACTTTTTTTTATTATATTTAACTTTAAAGTGTTGATGTAACTCTTCAGGATATCCCGTTATTACATAAAGCATTTTCAAGTTGCTTTTTACGTTTTAATGAACATACGGCGAAAATTTAAACAGACGCTACCTTTTTGTTTCACGTGGTCGTTGTTTGTTTTTGTGTATATGAAGTGTATGTGTACAAGCTAGGTTAAACGTAACATTTTTTATTCTATCGTGCAGAAACAAATAATAGAAAAAGATAGCGACATATGCTTGCCAAATCTTGATATATGTGTTAAAGATGGAATTATTTATAGTGTATGTTTCGTGAATATATTTCACTTAAATGAACATTTTAAATTTACATAAGAATAGTTATAATTAATTTTTCCATCCAGGAATTTTTTATTTACACTTATTGAGTAGTTACGAGTTTAGTGTTTGTGTTCTCGGGGCGTTTCCGGTTGTTTCTGGGGGCGTCAAAAATTTTTATTGTCAATCTAAACTGAATATCAGCTAACACTTTCATGTAACTTTAATGATTAAATATGTTATAAAAAACAAGTTTTGACCTCTTACTGCACAACCAAATATGCAACTTTAAGAATATAACTGTTCCCAGTAATAATTACTTTGTTTATTCCTTGCATTCTCAAGTTTCACAGGAATATCAGTTCAAGGATAAGCACCTGTTTTACCGGTTTCGGGAAGACCAGGATGGTGTTGGAACTACACCCTCTCAGGATGATCGTCACCTTGCCGAAAAAGAGTTTCAAGAATCTTTAACAGTGTTACTCCAGCTGTCACCTGAAGCTATTCTACGAACCATAATTCGCAAGCCGTATGTCGTTTTCTTGTTTTAGTTGTAAGGACTTTTCTTATGTGACTTTAAGACTACAAAACACAGTGATAATCGGAAATATTTTATTGGTATGTCGTTTCCTTGTCTAAATAATAAGGACTTTTCTTATCTGACCTTAAAGTTACAAAACACAGCGATAATTGGACATCTTTAATTGGCATGTCGTCTTTTTGTCTTAGTGGTAAGGATTTTTCTTATCTGACTTTAAGGTTACAAAACACAGCGATAATTGGACATATTTAATTGGCATGTCGTTTTTTTGTCTTAGTGGTAAGGACTTTTTTATCTGACCTTAAGGTTACAGAACACAGCGATAATTGGAAATCTTTTGTTGGTATGTCGTCTTCTCATCTTAATGGTAAATACTTTTTTATCTGACCTTAAGGTTACAGAACACAGCGATAATCGGAAATCTTTATTGGTATGTCGTCTTCTCATCTTAGTGGTAAAGACTTTTCTTATCTGACCTTAAGGTTACAGAACACAGCGATAATCGGAAATCTTTTATTGGTATGTCGTCTTCTCATCTTAGTGGTAAGGACTTTTCTTATCTGACCTTAAGGTTACAGAACACAGCGATAATCGGAAATATTTTATTGGTATGTCGTCTTCTCATCTTAGTGGTAAAGACTTTTCTTATCTGACCTTAAGGTTACAGAACACAGCGATAATCGGAAATCTTTTATTGGTATGTCGTCTTCTCATCTTAGTGGTAAGGACTTTTCTTATCTGACCTTAAGGTTATAGAACTGGTATATCATTATCTTCGTTTGTTGACGTATTTAAGATAATTTCATTGGCATATGTTTTATTATATAATAAACACACCGTAGGTATTATCACAAATTCCTAACTTGTTGTACATAATATTGTCTTTTAACTGTAATTTTCAGTATGAGGAAACAGTATTTCACAGACTCGACTAATATACTGGTTGCGTGATAAAACCTTTAGTGGTAGAAAAAAAAAAACGAAAAAGAAGATTGACCATTGTCAGTGTAACCTATGGAGATTTTAGAGACTTAATGCCGTAAGCCTACTTTCCTTATTCGGTTACGAATGGCGTATTAAACGATTATTAGCTTTTCCGAGTTTACTTCTAAACGTCCTGCAAAATCTGAATACCGTTGTCCGACATAAAGTAATTACAACTTACGTTTTTGAAAGTGTTCTCGTTATCAAATTCAAGAAACCTTTGTTTGAGTTATAAGAGTATCCGACTGCAATATATTCTACTTTGATAGTTTACAAAATGTACCACCAGGTAAATGAAAACGTGTAAAAATTATAATACTGACTCCTGAAAAGCTAAACAACATCGAATACATGAAATGAACTAATATGTATAATCCCATCATCGAAACAATTAAATGCTTTCAGTTGATTACATAGGCCTGCGACGGTTTTATTATCTTGAAAGTTTTACATGTTCTACGGTAATTCCTGTACGCTGAATACGAAAATGAATCCATTTTTCTCCACCAAGTACATATTTTTCCCAAAACGTCATAACGCAGTACATAAAAGAAATACCACAACACGTAGTTTTGGGAGTAAAAGACGTAGATTTCACAAACAATTAGGATGAATAAGGATGCATATTCGTTTGACATCAATGTTCTTCCTTTTCTTCAGTTTG